TACTTCGTCCATCTGCTGTTCTGCTTCCTGCTCTGTCTCTGGTGAATTCTCTCACCTGCACCTATGGCCTGTACCCCAGTTCTGTATACATAAATAAATAAATCTTTTAAAAAAATCAAAGTCTGGGCCCCAAGGATGCTCACTGCATCTAAACCTTTTAGTGTATATAAATACAGACATGAACCCATGTATATAAGCACATATATATTCAAATACCTACAGTGACCACACGGGTAAAAATATGTATGAAATATTGAATAGGTGGTCTCTAGAGGAAAGGGCATGTTTCAGGTTCCCTGACATACACAAGGAAAGGTGGAGCTGAGCAGAGAGAAGAAGCTAAAGAGAAGTCTGGGGAAAGATAAGATCAAGAGGAAGACCTGGAGGAGGCACCTGGAGCAGAGAGACAAGTGAAAAAGCTGTGCTTGCTTTTTGGCCTTGGACTGGTACCAGGGACTTGGTGAACACGGAAAGAGGCACTTGAAACAGTCATGGGTGAGAGAGCCATGGGAGGCTGACATGGCAACATTTATCTTGCTTTTGACTTTGCTCTTTTCCTTCCAGATTTGTCTGGACTCTTCTGTCCCTTTCCCATGGTCTCCTCCAGAAGGTGCCTTAGACTTAGCGCAATTTTTTGGACTTCAACAGTCCTGCTTTGGGCCAACCCAATTTAGCTGGGCATTTACCCATAAGGGGGTGGGTAACTTATTTTGGGTGCTTTTTGTGAAAACTATTTTATCTATTCTTGCCCTTCTCTTTATTGCACACAAATTTATTAAAGTTCATTTCCACTGAAAAGTCTTTTTTTTAAAGATTTATTTATTTATGCATATAAGAACTGTGGTGTAGGCCAGAGATGCAGGGGATAAAAGGGTTCACCAGAGACAGATTGGAGAGCAGGACAGGCAGATCCACTGAAATACACTGCTGAGGGGAGAACTGGGCAAGGCAGGAGAGGTCTGCTGTGCCATGTAGGTCAGCTCCCCAGCCAGGGATCGAATTCATGCTGCAGTGGCTGTAGACAGCCTCACAGTGCTACACTTTAATCCCTTGAGGCACCAGGGAGGCCTCCATTGAAAAGTCTTATGTACTGGAGTATGTTTGGGCAGTATGAGGGGCACCCTGGGTCCCCCAAACTGGCTACTTTAAGTAGATTCTGCCATCTGCTGCATCAAGACAAAACATACTCCACTGAAAAGTCTTATGCATTAGAGCATGTTTTGTCTTGATGCGGCAGATGGTAGAACCCTTAGAGCAGCCAGTTTGGGGGTCCCAGAGTGCCCTTCACCCTACCCAGTAACAACATACCAGAAATGAATCTCAGAGATTGTGGTTAACTTTATAGAGCATGCCCTGATTAAAGGAGACATACCCTCCAATTTTTCAAAAGAAGCCAGAAATATAATTTTTCATATGAATTTTTAAAATATTGACAGCTAATTTAAAAAAACTAGACATCAGGATCAAACAAAATCCCAGGTCATGAGCTATATGCATTCTCAACTTATATGTTACTAACATATAAGTATGTTAGGGAAGTAGGAGAATTCTCAGACTACTTAAGGAAAAGTCAAATTATAATATGGAAGATGAGGAGTGTATAATTATCTTCATCAGACTCCCTTCCCTCAACTCTCTACAGCAATAAACAGAAGCATGGTATGAGTGGGGAGAAGGCAGTTGTTAGAATAAACTCAAAGAAATTTGGAACCGAACGAAAGCTTTTATACCTAGGTTATTAGAGTCTCATTTTAAGATCCAGGAGATTGATATATATATCAATGTGTGTGTGTGTGTGTGTATGTATGTGTATATATATATATATATATATATATATATATATATATACATATGAAATTTCAAAAACACTTTATATGACAGGTATATTATAGGCAATAAAATGGTAGAAAAGTTTACTGCAAGTGCATGATTATGTCCTTACCCTCATTTTTATCTATTCTAAAATGAACAGAATTGACACTTATGCCTTGGTCCCCTCCTGGAAGGAGCAGAAACAATAGAAAGGTGCAAGGGAAAAGAAAATTAAGATGTTAAATTCTAAATAAGCCCAAGGAAAGTCTGGAGACAGGCCCAGATAGGGTTTGGCTCCTTTGGTGCAAGAGCGTCATGTGACCTGCCCAAGGCTCCAGAATGTATAGAAATCACAGGATTAACCTTTTTGGTTCAAAGACAAGAAAAAGTCAGATTAGATTAAAGCAAGAAACATCAAAGCCCATATAAGGTATTATTTCCCCCTGGTTTCTGTTACTTTCTTTCATAGAAAATAAGGACTTCAAACCACCTAAGGGGGATTGAAAGCTTTAGAAATCCCAAGCAAAAGGAAGGAAGGAATTAGAAACTTTTCTGACTACACCATGAACCTCCTTCCGCCAGCTTCAACCTCAGGTCTGCTGCACCTGATGTATCCTTCACCATCAGCTCTTGGTCAAGAGCCTCTTAGGACTATTATATTTGTACACTATAAGATTGTGACATTTTAAGCTTCTCTCAAATTTGGAAACCAGGCCCTAAGCCAAGATCAGAAGAAGAGTAAACTTAGGGAAGGGGGCAGATGGGCTCAAAATTACCATTCTCTTAAGTGACTCACAGGGAGCCACATGCAGCATCCCTGGCCTTTGATCCTGAGGCCTTCCTGTGACTCACTTGGGAAGGGAAAACATCTTTGCCTCTGGCACTGAGCAGACATTAGCTTGTCTCTTGTACTCTCTAAATAGTTCACCAGCAGAAAGGAAATAGTTTTGTAGTGTCAAAGGAAAAACTAAAACTCATTTTTACAGTTCATTTGATTTCAAAAAGTGAATTATTTCCTTCTGTACATCACCCATGTACCTCTAGACTGTTGACCATTTATTTCCCTCTACAAACATCTGAGTACTAATAATCATAGCTAATATCTACTGAGCTATTATCAGACTCTGTTCTAAATTCTTGACATGTATTAACTATGCAGTAACTCCTACATTACCCTCATTTTATAGATAAGGAAAATGAGACAGGAAGAAGTTAAGCAGTCTCTTTCCCAGGATCACAGAGCTAATAAGTACCCAAGCCAAGACAACTTTAAAGCCTGTATTCTATTTACTTCTTTTTTGTTTTTCAAACACACACACATGCAAAGTTTTAAAAAACTAATACAATAATAAACCATATATGTCACCTAGATTGAACTTAGCATAATTTCTCTCTGTTCTTTTGACACAATTCCATTAGTCTTGGAGGACTACTTTGCAAATGCCTTATACTAAGTTACTTGTAGCTCCCGCATTACTTTTAGTTTCTCCTCTTGAAGCTAAGGATCTCTGTGAAACTCAGGCCAAGAAAGTCCACTTTCTGGTCTCTGTAGAATTTAACCCTAATGGATAATTTCCTCTTCTGTTCTATGCCTCATATTTAAACAGGCTGGTTTATTTCCTGAACGCTGACTGTAATGGCCAGGGTATCAGTGCTTCTTCCACCTGTGCCTATGCCTACTCATAACTGGGTCGGGACTTCTCTTCACTGACCCCCCTCAGCAGAGGCTGCTCTCCTTAAGGCCATCCGCCTGCGACCATGCAGGTCTCTCTCAGCAAACCTGTCTCTTTCAGGGCAGCTCTTCCTGCCCGCTTGTGCCTATGCAAGTGTCCTTTACTTTTCTGTCCCTCTCCCTAAAAAAACTGTAAATATAACTAATGTCTCTATCTTGTGGAGAAACTCACCACATGACGCTGAAAAGGGGAGCTTTGGTGAAACCTTCCAGAGTGAACCCAAGGACCCCACACTCCAAACCCACTAACTCCAAAAAACGATATCACTGCACTGATTTTCCAAATACATACAAGGTCTTACTGTAGATTAGATAGACAGAGAGAGATAGTATGAGGTCGAACTTTAACTTTTGCACAAATGGGATGGGATCTTTAAGTGCATCTTAAATTCTTGTTCTTGTTTCCTATACATAGATGGTTGCTAAGCACAAGCACTTCACATCCTAAAACCATGCCTCTAGTCCATCTCTCCATCTTCCCCAGCAGTGGTTCAGGCCCAATTTTCCTCTCTGACTCAATCTAATAAGATAGTCTAAACGTTCCCTACTTCAGCACACCCCACAGGCTGTGCCAGAGCAGACTTCATGGAGGACTGCCATGCTTAGCAACCTGCAATTGCTTTCTATCTGCAGAGCCTAACATAGCATAATAGAGCATACTGGAGGTGTTCAGTAAATATTGGTAGAGGGAGGGACCAAATAAAGTGATTGTCTGAGCTGTTTGATTTCAAGGCTCAGTTGTATCGTACATTATTGTCAAGAAATATCCTCAGAATACCTGAGTTCATATCTCAGCGCTGTCACTTGCTGGCCATGTGGCCTTAGGCCAAGTGACTAAACTACCCAACATTCCAGTTATACTTCATACATCCAATATGGCTAATATTGGACTAATACATGGCTAATAATATTACCTACCCTATAAAATTCTCATAAAGTTGACATGAGATGCTTTTAGAGTGATCAGCATAGTGACTGACACACAGTAATTTCTCAGTAAATGTCAGCAACTGGATTTCTTTGACTTATTGATCACTCACTATATTTCAAACACTGCATAAATGCCCATTACATTTAATCCCTACAAAAACCTTATAAGGTGTTATTAAATGGAAAGGTTAAATAAATATGCTCAGAGAGGGGGTTTAGGAATATTTGGCAAGATAGAGTATGCAAGGAAGGGAGAATGCAAGATGGATGGTCGATCCCTATTACAAATAAGTAAAATGAAATGCAGTTACATATTTGCAATAACATACATAATTAGAACTTAATAATCATTAGGCCCAACCAATTTAAATTAGTAGTTTCTTTGCGTTTTCATGTAGAAGCAAGTTTGAGTTGGCAACCCAGTACCATAGTCTTTATTGACCTTTGCCCTTCCTATCCCCAAGCAGTGGCCAGGACTCACATTAGATGTCACATACCTGCTGGCTTCTTATCAGCAAATGCTTACCTGGAGGAGATAGAGGAGCCCTGGGACAAACAAGGTGAGTGGGTACAAAGACTGGTATGTTGCTAAGGCAAGAAAAATAGCACTGAGGAAGGCACTACCTGTAAAAAGAAATAAATATATGGGATAATCCATTCTCCACAACCAGGAGTTCACTCTATACATGCTCAAATAATTGCCCACTAAATGTCTCCTGGTACTATGCAAACTTGCATAGAACAAGGGAAACAATTTACTTTTAGCAACCTCAGATACCGTACATATATTTCTTATAAAGTTTTCAGACCCATAAAAGTTCTATAAAACTTCAGCCCAAAAGTGAATAAAGGGATCAAGTTTATTAACATCCATGTCCTATTTAACTTACCATTTACAAAGCTAACAATTATTGCTTATGCTATTCTATTCACAGCTGTGAAAACATCCCTTGGATGTTGCAAACATTCCATAGTTTTCTTTTTTAAAAAGATTTATTTATTGGCCCTCCCTGGTGGCGCAGTGGGTTAAAGCACAGCACTAAAAAGCTAAAGCCACTTCCACATGAGTTCGATCCCACCTGCCCCGGAGGTGACCACATGGTGTGGCAGACCTCTCCTGACCCGCCCGCTGCTCCCCTCAGCAGTGTACTTCGTCGATCTGCCTGTTCTGCTCCCCACTCTGTCTCCGGTGAAGCCTCTTGCTGCCCCTGAGCCTCTGGCCTGTACCCCAGCTCTGTATGCACAAAAAATAAATCTTAAAAAAAAAAAAAAGATTTATTTATTTATACATATAGAACTGGGGTACGAGCCAGAGGTACAGGGGCAGTGAGAGGATTCACCAGAGACAGAGTGAGGAGCAGATTCAGGCAGACTGAGGAAGAACACTGCTGAGGAGAGCAGCGGGCAAGACAGGAGAGGTCTGCTGTGCCATGTAGGTCACCTCCTGGGCCGGGGATTGAACTTGGAGCTGAAGTTACTGTGGCCAGCTTCAGAGAGCTGTGTTTTAACCCTTTGTACCACTAGGGAGGGCCTATCCCATAGTTTTATAACCTCCCTTCCTTATACACTATTGTCAGGTCATGTCTCCCCCCTCCCACCAAATTAAAGCACATTAATTTTTATCAATAATCTCCCCATTCCCAACACTAATGGAGCACTATGGAATCACTTAACATTGCAGAATCACTGAACATTATAAACAATTTACAATGATGTGGAAAGATGTTTTAACTTCCTAGTAAATAAAAGTTGTAAAAGAGATACATACGATGATCCCTTTTTTTAAGAAAACATGCATAAATAATAAATACATTTTAAAAAAGATGAAACAGCTAAGCCACAAAGTTCACAGTGTTTTTTCTCTGGGTAGTTGGATTATGAATGGATTTTCATTTTTGCTTCTCTGTATTTTCTAAAATTTTGGTAATGAACATGCTTTGTTCTTGTCATAAGAAATAATAGTTTTCTTCAAAAAAAAAAAGTTATTCCCTTCCACAAGACTCAAGACAACAGAACGCTCTAAAGGCAAGGCTCAAGAACACAGTTATAAGAGGTTTGAAACTGGCTCAGAAATCAGTAGTGTGCAATTAGTGTTCAGAGCTGGGGCACTACGATAATGTTTCATAAAATCACAATACCCATCACCATTCTTATTAGCATAGGGTCAACTGTTTACTGAAAATAACAGACATCCTCTCAATGGGGTTTCATAGAGGGAGAAACTAGTCATGCCAGTCAGTACAAGGAATTTTATGCCCTTCCCAGGCCAAATCCAGAGAAAGACAAAAGATGATCCATACAGGTTTTGGTCCAAAGTGGTCTATATACTTGAAATGTTCAAGGGCCGTCCTGGAAGAAGGAGGGCTATGAACATGACTACCTCAGAGTGGGGAGAAAAGAACTTTGCTTATCCTATCCCTCAAGCCAAGGAACTTTATAGTAAGGAATAATTCCTGGCTGAAAGAAAGAAGGAAGGCAGCGAAAGGAGGAAGCTAGAGTGAAAGGCTAAGGACAGCCTGCATGGGGCAGGCTGTCTCATCATGCCAGGTGTGATGTCCTATATCCAGGACACTTGTATGACAGGGTATGCCCAGTCAAGCTATGCTTACCACCAAAGGCCTACGTACACTTGCTAAGCTGCAGATACTTAGAACCAGAACCAGGTCCACTCAGATAGGGAGAGAGCAGAGGTGGGAAAGAGTCTGCAGCCAAACAGCTAGAATGGACACGGGATTCTGGGACATGGCCAAAATTGTGAAAGATGTTTTGTGAGAAACAATCTAAAAGGGGGGAAAATTGTAAAGAACCTTTTAATTTAACATAGTTTTTACCATATTAAACATGATTTCCTACCAGTGTTTGGGGGTTGGAGAGAGTGGAGGCCCATGTGTCTGTTACCTGAGCAGTGAAGCTAATGTTCCAACCCCACCCATTCTTTTTTTTTTTAAGATTTATTTTTATACATACATGGGGTGAAAGGACTCACCAGAGACAGAAGGGGGACAGAATATGCAGATCCCCTGAAATACACTGCTGAGGGGGCAGCAGGTGAGACAGGAGAGGTCTGCTGGGCCATGTGGGTCAGCTCCCTGGCCAGCAATCAAACACATGCTGCAGAGTCTGGCAATAGCTTGACAGCACTGTGTCTTTAACCCCTGCACCACCAGGGAGGCCCCATCAACCCTACCTTTCTTAAAAATGAAAACAAACATATGACTTTCATCTCATTTCCCCCCAGGAGACACCAGAGAATGAAATAAACACAGCCACCTCCTGCCCTTATTGCCTGAAATCAGTAATTGCTTGTCTGGAGCAGTTTATTATTTGTAAGTCCCAAGAGAGAAAAAATGGGTCATAGCCTAATAGATTGGACTTGTAAGTTTTCCCAGATCTGGAGGAAGCTGTCTTTCTTCCTGGATGAAATCAGTAGGAAGGAAAAACCTGTTCCTTCTGCTAGTATCTTTGCTGGGTAGTGGCATTAATACCCTCCCAAATACTCCAGCCATTCTTCATTCTACCAGCTCCCACACCACAGCTCATTCTCCCACCTCTCTAACAATCCCATTGTATCTCATCTTCTCTCACCAAGAGTCTCCAGAAGGCTTTTCCTTCTTCTTAATTGTCTCCCCAGCCTCCTCCCATCTAGCCCATCCTCTACAGAAAAACCAGAAGGATCCTTCTAAACACAGTTGAGATTATGAGAAGCTCCTCTTTAATATTTCTTATGATTCCTTTTTATTGGACCCTTCACTAGCTGGGTCTTATTTGTCCAGCATTAGCTCTACATAAGAGGATGCTCTGACACATAATCTATCATTCCCCAGTTTTGGAAGACATTCCTCTGAGTTTGTTCTCAGGCTCTTCCTTCTATTTCAGCTGTCCTTTCCTATCTTCCTTCTTAGAGACCCATCCTTCAGTGGTGAGTTAAAATGCCACTTCCTTGTTATGAGACCTAAACAAAGATGGTAATAATAAAGATACAGCTAACATTACTCATCACTTACTAGATGCCAGGCATTTACCCTCTTTGCATCAAGAATAGGGCCTGACTCAAAAAAAAAAAATTCCCAGTAAACATAATTATCTCATAAAAGCTCTATTTTTCTACACGTTATTATTCTTCCCATTTTACTGCTGAAGAACCCAAAACACAGAAAAGGAAAGGTTAAGTATGCATCCAAACTACACAGCTAGTTCCAGTGCCCATTCTCTTAACTCATTCAATACTGGCTCTGTCTTATAATAATTAGCTAATGTGTGTGTGTGTTTGTGTGTCTCTCTCTGCCACTCCCACCATTCTGTCTGCATTTCTCAAGGTCAATATAATTCTCTTAACTTTGTATTTGTAGCACTTAGCACAGTGCTTGGCAATATGATGAATGATCTCATTTAGAGATACATAGGATTTGTGTCTTTAAAAGGGAAAGCATATTAAAGAAAACCAATGCTCAAGAAGAAGGAAAACTTAAGAAGTGTAAAACACAGGGTAATGAATCACAGGCAGAGTACACAATAAATCTGACTTGAATAAAACAGAACTGCAGAAGAACAGTTGGGGACTCGCAGAGGGACTCGGCCTGGAGAACACTCTGCGGAGTACGCTTTTGGGTGGCTCGGCCTGCGCTCCGGGGGCAGTGATGTGCTGCTGCAGGCGGAGCCTGGTGTGTGGGATGCCGGGACAGGTGTGGATGGGGCACACACAGTCTGAGCAAAAGTGAGGGGGAGTATGGAGGCACACAGACTCAGACAGGGTTGACATATTTTGTAAAAAAA